TAAGTTTCTTTAATAAGTATGGCTCGAAGGCACATTTCCTTACTATGATTTATTTTGTTGTAGATTTCTAGTTGAAACTGAGACATTGTGACTTTGCGTGGACGACTGCGAGTCTAATTGTGGAGTTTTCCCATCCGCCTGCGGTTGTATCTGTCGCTATCAAAATTGAAGCAACGTAGAAGATCCGTGATATCTGACAGCAGTTGTTTTTACAATTCTTGTCGTGACCTACATATATCGTGAGCTCCTATAAGCTAGCCCAGATCACATTAGCGAGCTCAAATACAGAAGTTGAGAAGTTTACCTACCAAGCTAGTTGGTGATTTCTGTGATGGTCTGTCAAATTGAAAGAAGTCACTCTACTTGTTTTCGCGCGGATACTTCATGAATCTCAAATGCTTTGAGCTGGAAGGCATGCGATGTATAGCTAAAATCTTTGACTGTTATTTGATAACAAAAATTTTTTTGTATTTCAAGTATCACAGTGCAGCCATAGCTTACAGATGTTTTATCAAATCAAAATTTTTTGCTTCTCAAATACAAAATAACAAGCATTGGTTTCACAAGCGATAAAGGATTTGAGGACTTATAATGAACATTTACCTAGTAAGAGGAGCGTCTTGAATGTATTTTCTTATAAAATGTGCAGAATCGGCTATTATGGCCATGATACAAATACTTTATCACAGAGCAATCTCTTTTTAACTCTATTTTATCACTGATTTAGCCACCAATCAATATCATTCTCGCTAAGATAATCGTGTGGGAAATGGTATTCATCGACACTATCATCTGTAGCAAAAATCCCATTTTCTGCATTATACATATAAGCATCATAGTCGCCGTAAATGAGGTTAGGAGTAGGATATGCTCCTGTCTTATACTATGGTAGTGGAAGCCGCTGATTTCGAAAATGAAACTTCCACTTGACTCTGATGCTTCTTTCCTAAGTTATCCCAGGTAAACCGTAATAACCGAGTTACCAGCATTTGTCGGAACTGTAATTTCACTGTCAGAAAAGCTGAAAACACTCATAAAAAGTTGTATAACGGAATCGGCGTGCGCGAAAACCTTAGTACACGATTTTTCAAGTTTTTTGAGAAAATTTTGTCGGATGGCATATTTCACAATGGTTCCACATGCTGGAAGTTCCTACCATAATCCTACAGTAACGAACAGCGATCGGTGATTCGCTCGTTGCTGTAAATCTAAGCTGAAGCCTCCTTTACAAAATGGTACTTGAAAGGCGGAAAAAGACCCAATGGGAAGGGAAATATTAACGATTGAAAAGTGTGTACTTACTTTTGGGACACCCTGTATAGAGCTGAATGCGTCTAAGGTTTGCCAGAATTGAACAAACAACTAAGGAAGAGTTCCACACTGAAATGTCGGTAAAAATCAAGGCGGAACAAGTTTTGCGAGGCAGCGAACGAAAAGTGGAGGTGTAGGTGAGCAAAGGAGAACGACAGGGAGAGTCGGAGCGTTTAACTCACACTGGAGATCTAAGCGGTCGTAGCAAATTCCAACTTATAAATTATTCTCCTTACCAAAATATGCAAGCCTGACAAGGTCACCATAACCGCAACTACTCCGACGCAATAAGAGCGCATTTTTGTGCTTCGGCACCTTGCGCATGTTTTGTGCGCGGTCTCTGGTCATAAACTAAATCGGTCTTTCTGCGTTTCTAAAACCCGTGCTCAATCCCACTACTATAAGAAACAATTCTATTAAAGAGATTTTTACGAAAGCTTTTTAATGAGATTAATCTGTAAAACATATCTATTGGCCTTTCTGCCTTATTGCCAAGTTAATACACAAATTATCAAATTCTTTCACTACCATTTTTAATGTGGGTGTGGGCTTAACTTTTGGGGCTTTGCGCTGGATATTTTTGATTTCTCTCCAGTCCAATGTGCATTGCATGTCCATGCAGCCTACTTGTGTAGCAGTACTTCGCATTCTCACAACGAAAAAAAAACGCAGAAATTGAAAAACTTGTTACAGCAATATATTAGGTTGGTGCAAAAGTTTTGTCAGTTTTTTCAATCCATCAGCAAACATGCTAGAATGAAGATAAGCAAACACAAAATGCATTCGATGCAGAATTTCTTCCACTTTCTAGCTGTTAAACTCCCATTGTGTGTCGTTGCAAGATTGACGCGATATTTGCTGGAAATTGCAACCACTCTTTTTTACTACGTCCAAATTTCGCTAATTTTCAAAATTTTTGTATGGGACTTTCGGAAGAGCCCTAATAACCATCAGATAGGGCAAACCCTTTGCCAACTAGTGCAATTTTTTGTAGCCCTACGGCTTGTCTTTTTACGATTTATTTTTTGAAGTGACCAAATTTTACATTCAGCCTTTTTATCCTTGTATTAGGTTGTTACATAAGTCTTGTTACACTTAACTCCTAACGGCGACAAGTCATACACCTCATAGTCTTTACAGGACCCCAAGTAATATTCGATAGAGCAAAGCAAGCTCTACAAGGAGGTCTTCAAAAGTTCGCACCAGCTCCGACCCACCGTAAGTTTGCATCCAAAATCTGAGTAGTACTGAAGATTCAAAAATCGCGAAAAATTAATATCCTTGTTCAGGAAAATCCTACGAATCTCCAACTTGCTCACAAAAATTGTCTACTATATCAAACACTCATATGTACAGTTGCTGTATTTTTTCCTTATCTAGAAATCGAGAAAAGGAAAATTTCTTAGTTTTTACAAAAACGAAACTAAGCTGTTTCTATTCATGCAGCTGTATATTACAAGCCCTCAGAAGTATTAAATTTTCAGCTCTCCAGAAGCCCTAGTTTCCGGAAATTACCTAATTTAGCATTGAACACCCGAGTGGGAGAAGCTAAATTTGGTATTTTTCAAAACCAGGGCTTCTGGAAAGTGAAAATTTACGGTTATACTTGCAAAGACTTGTAGTATACAGCTACATGAATAGAAACAGCATAGTTTCGTTTGTGTAAAAACTAAAAAATTTCCTTTTCTCGATTTCTAGACAAGGAAGAAATACAGCAACAGTACATATGAGTGTTTGATATAGTAGACAATTTCTGTGAGCAAGTTGGAGATTCGTAGGAATTTTCTGAACAAGGATATGAATTTTTCGCGATTTTTGAATCTTCATTACTACTCAGATTTTGGATGCAAACTTACGGTGGGTCGGAGCTGGTGCGAACTTCTGAAGACCTTCTTGTAGAGCTTGCTTTGCTCTATCGAATGGTACCTTGGAACTCAGCAAAGACTATGAGGTGTATGACTTATCGCCGTTAAAATTTAAGTGTAACAAGACTTATGTAACAACCTAATAAAACATAAAATGTTAAACACTTCGGTCACCATCCGATGCAACTTCTTCTCCTACTTCTTCTTGTGTTTTTTCACCGAGAAAGACGAAATTTGCGGAAAAAACCGCAGTATTTCTCTATCTCAAGAGTGCGCACTGACGTAACCTATGTTTCAAAATCTTCATAATTTGAAGCGAAAGTCGCTTATTTATATGTAATGGTAGCGGTGGTAACAATCGAGTGTTAGAACCTCAGTATTCTGTAGGTTTTGCAGTGTTTGGTGCAATAATAGATTATGCGATTTTTTTAAAACGCAACACTATTAGAAAATTAATTAACAAAAATCTAAAAAAGCAGCTGAAAAAACAAAAAATTGCATAAGTTGGCAAAAGGTTTACCCTATCTGGTGGTTACTGAAACCACTCCAAAAGTCTCATGCAAAAGTTTTGAAAATTAGTGAAAACTGGACATGGTATAAACGAATTGTTACAATTTCCAGCAAATATCTCATCATTCTCGCGACGAAACACAATATGAGTTTAGCTGCTAGAAAGAGGAAGAAATTCTCCATCGGATACATTTTGTAGCGTTTGTTTATTATCATTCTAGCGTGTTTCCGATGGATTGAAAAAACTGACAAAATTTTTGCACCAACCTAATATTAGTTAACCCGAAAGTTTGTTTGCACCATTTTCAAAAATTCATAACTCCCAGTTTTTTTCAGCCGATTTGCGAGTTTTCATTTTTGTCTTTTTGTCTCAAAGATGTATTCATTATCTTCATGGTCGCTTAATGGCTTTCTTTTGAGCATACACTGTTTGGATAGAAACGGTAGAAGAAAACTACAAAAATTTCGTTATTACACGTGCTCTTACCAGCCCATTCTAATTGTATAAAGTTTGTGCTGATTAAGCTCTTCTATGAAAAGTTATAATTATTAAGTAAGCAATACAAAAGGGCGAGTTTGATTTATTTTCATGTTTCAGGAGAATCATAAATTTTCGCACAGTTAAAAGGAGCTGGTAAATGCACCTGAAACACCGACTGCTCCGATTTTTAGTGCAAGTTTCAGGTTTTTTATGCCCTGCATGGAAAATTCAAAATTTGGGCAATTTTCTTCTACCGCTTCTACGCAGTGTATGCTCAAAAGACAATCGTTGAGCTACGACGATGAAGAAAATGAGTTGATCTTTCAGATGAACATGAAAACACGCAAACTGGCCAGAAAACCGGGTGTTATGATTTAAAAATGGTGCGAACGAAATTTCGGGCAAACCTAATATTCAGGCTAAACTCAAATTTTTCAAGACTCGAAAGAATTAGTGTTCAAATGCTGCAATCCTTTAAAGTTTGCAGAACGTTTGCCTAGAAATTCGAGATAGGTGAAGTGACACAAGACATTGCATGAACGCCGCGTTTATAACCAGCCTGTTGCTCTAATTTAAAACTCAGTGGTCAGCTTCTGCGTGTCGGCTGCTTCAAAACACAGATTTTTGTAAGTCACCTATTGAACTCTTTTGTTTTCTTTCTGCTTGTAATCGTACGAACTAGTTGTTTTGAACAAACGAATTTCTTGGTGAAAAATGGAGCAAGGCAATGTAACTGAAGTCGCCGTCTATTCTATTAAGTCAAGAAATTGGTTTTCAAAGTCTGCTCAATGCACAACAAGATTTTTATTTATCTCGTACACTTTTACAAGTGTTCAACGTACGTCTATGATTTCAGCCTCTCCGTCATCATAATAGTCTTCGTCATAATTGTAATAAACTTCTTGTGGGGCTAAAAAAAGAATGGCTCACATACTTTACTTCACCACAAACTCACGAGTAGTAGTAGTAGTAGTAGTAGTAGTAGTAGTAGTAGAAGTCGTGGTTGTAGTAGCGGGATCTTGATCACAAAGTCCATAGGTGGTATCGCAGTTTACATCCGTTCCTTTGATAATTTTCTTGCAGGGTCCAGGTTTTTGACATCCAGCATTATTTTTCGAATCTGCCCAGTAAAGCGGTTCACCTTTCTTTGGCCTACAAAAGTTGTTATGTATGTTTCATGTTTTGTTGAGTAATATTCCCAAGCATTTATGTGGTGGCTGGAATCAAATTGCTTACCTGCTACTATACACGCATGCAAGAGCAACCTTGCTTGTTTTCTTACAGAATAGAAATGAGCAGCCAAAACTGAGCGTCTTGTTGTAGATCATCTATGGCAAAATTACGATTTGATTTCGATCAAAGGGAAGCCAGCAAAAGCTCACATTAGCAAATGGTTCTATGGAAGTATCAGTGTACACCACGTCTGAGCTCAGAGGTTTTTTCACCGTATTCATCCAGTCTTTCATCGCAAATTCAAAAAGATCCTTTTGTTTATTCACATCTGGTTTCTTATCCAGTTTATATCTGTAATGGAAAGTTGTTCCATTATGTTTCCGTTCAACTCGTGTTGACGGCATACGTAATAAAGTTTTCGGCTCTTCCAATGCTGTTCGTGTAGATGCTAGAGTGCTTGCATTTGTTTCCAATGGTGGCCTGTGCAAATCCTTCGTTTGTACAATCATACTTCTGCAAAGAGTTGACGCGGTGTTGGTGTATGATCAATGTGGTTTTGACTAAAAGCGCCGGAAGAAAACTGGACAAAGAAATCTTTTAATCAGCTGAAACGTAGTCAGACATGTTTTCTCACTCTGATTTTTCTGCCTATTTTACTCACCAGTTTGAAAAGAGTTTTCGATCCAGGCATACTTCCAAAAATTGCCGCATTCAGATTCCGGTTGGCAACGTTTGCTCTGAGCTTATTGTGAGAGTTTGTGACACCCTCGATCACAGCTGCATTGAGCTTGCAGGTTGCGGATGCTGAAATCGACAATACGATTACTTTCTTCATTTCCCAGTAAGAAATAGGAAACCCGCTAAAAGTCAAAATTTTAATTTTGATACCCTGGATTCTTACCCGCATCTTCTATATGCAGAAAGAAAGTGATTATCTGAAAATTTGATGTTGACCTGCGGAATTTTTTTAAAATGCAAACTATTACCATAATTACAAGCGGCAACAACATCTTGCTATTTTTGCTACCCAGTCTTCGATCTGAAGAAAATAACGCTCGTAAAAATTTTATTAGTTGCAAGATATTTGCTGTTGACTTCGATGTTTCTTAATCAAATAATAAAATCTTAGCTTCTTCCTGGGATTGAAAGGAAGTGTAAAAAATGTTTTATGCCTACTACAATACCGCTCATAATTCGTCAAAAAAGTCGCCGCACTCTAGCGGAGTGCGCCACAGTGCGCGCAGTGCGGCAGTGTGCGGCGGAGTGCGCCGGAGAGCAGCGGAGTGCGCCGCACTTCACTAGAGTGCTTCGGAACCGCGTCGCATCTCCATATCCCGCTTCAGATAAAATAATTTTTACAAATTTTTAAAAATTCAATTTAGCCTTGTAAAAAAATTTTTTTCGGGGACGTGGCTCACGCCACGCATCTTCATTCGAAAAAAATTTTTGTCGCCCCCCCCCCCCGAGCGGAAATCCTAGGTACGCCACTGAACAGACGTATTCAGAATCCAAGGACAGCGTTCGACTAGGCTTGGCGAGACGCATCATCTGGTGTACAGGTGTGCCGATGAGCATGGTAGAGAGTCACTGTGATGGATTTGTTCTGACATCAGCTCAAGGTATAATACCGCTCACCGAATCTGCAAAATTTCAATGAACGTCGCGGAAATCCGGAATTCCACGAAAGCAGGGACTATCCAGAAATTCCGCGTCATTTCAGAAATTTCACGAAAACACGGGAATTCCGCGGAATAATGGGAATCACCCAAACTACGCAGCACCATAACTTTCTTCGAAATCATTATTTTCCGAATCAGAAAAAAACATTGTGCTCAGCTCATCAAGGCGAATCTTTCAAAATACAGCACGTCTTTGTATTCCAATTTCAGTATCTGCGGGACTTCTCTTCGCAAAGGTGTAAAGCAGCGCGCATTGCCTCTCATAGACTACAGCAAAAATTCTTCGACAGTTCTTCTTCTGTAAATTATAGAGCGCCAAAAAGTAGCGGTATGCCCCTTTTCAAAGGAGATAGATGGGCTGGTGAACTGTGGGAAAATCTAGTCGTTTCAAATTCTACTCGTTATAGCCCTGGAATACGAAGCTATCTTGCTAAGCAGATGTGAATTTCGTAATCAGCAAGTCTAATAACCCTATGAGCAAGTTTTCAGAGATGTTCGGCTTAATTCATTTTTCTCGTTTTACGCTCCAAAAGCTCGCCGGTGGATTTTGGTCAGAATAATGATGATTTTCGATTGTGAGGAAGTTTCGCTTATAGAGGTTTTCGGATCTGCTATTTACGAATATCATGGCCTTGGGGGAATAAAGGGTTTTTTTGCAGAGATATGGTGAGGTAACTGTAACTGAGTCACGAGACCTTGTAAATTTGCCTGCACTTCTCGCGTATCTTTCGGAAAACTTGACTGCTTGCTTTCATGGGTTGAAGTTACTAGGAACCGTGCTATTGAACGGTGTCAGCAGTCTAAGAAAGTCGCCAAATTACAAGCCTACGAAAACAAGTCCTCATGAATTTTGCCTAGAATGTTAAGATCGCATACTTCGTCGAAATTTTACCGTGTTTTCTACGACAATCTGGTTGCAAACATTATGTTATAAATAAACATTGTGTTCACTTCGCCCAGGGGATCCCGCTTACTGAATATGGCGGTTGCGTGTGCTTCAGCTGCTTAACTGAATATCAAAGCAGTTTCGTAGCCAGGCTCAGATCTATCTAACTACCAAGTCCAACACAATAAGACCCACCAGGTGATGTGAAAAGATTTGATCGCCGTGTTATGCAACCGCTCACGGTAGAAGTTCGACGAAGTATGCGATCTTTACATTTTGGGCAAAATTCATGAGGACGTGTTTTTAAAGGCTCGTAACTCGGGAACTGTCACAGCTTGGAGCTTGAGACATGCACCAATCGATAGCACAGTTCTTAGTAACTTTAACCTTGGTAAGCAAGCGGGCAAGCTTTCTGTCAGATACGCGAGAAGTGCAGGCGAAGTTACGAACTTTCGTTAAAGCTACCTCACATATTTCTGAAAAAGATCCTATACTTGATAGAAACCACGATTTTCATAAATCGCGTGTTCTTATAACTCTATGAGCGGAGTTTCCTTCCAAATCAAGATCATCAACATTTCGACCAAAACCCGCTGGCGAGCTTCAGAGCGTGAAACGAGAAAAAATCAAATAAACCGAAGTTCTCTAAAAACTTGCTCATAGGGTTGCGCGCTGCTTTACACCTTTACGAAGAGAAGTCCGCAGAAAGATTCAAGAATACTGAAATTGGAATATAAAGGACGTGCTGCATTTTGAAAGATTCGCCTTGATAAGCTGAGCACAATGTTTTTTTCTGATTCGGAATATATTAATTTCGAAGGAAGTTATGGTGCTGCGTTTGCGTGATTCCCATTATTCCGCGGAATTCCCGTGATTTCGTGAAGTTTCTAGAATGACGCAATTCCGGTGAAGTCGCGGGCTTTCTTGGAATTTCCGGATTTCCGCGACGTTCAATGAAATTTTGCAGATTCGGTGAGCGGTATTATACCTTAAGCTGATGTCAAAACAAATCTATCAAAGTACTCTCTACCATTCCTACAGTACCCCTACGATGTGCCATCAGCAGCAAATCAATGAGCAAATCAAATCATTATTATCAACACACTGGACAATCCAAAAAAGAAAAATCTGCAAAATTGAGCGAAATCCTACTGATAACAATATACTTACCCCGACAGATTGTGGCACATCTATATACCAGATGATGCGTCTCGCTAAGCTTAGTCGAACGGTGCCTTTGGAATCAGAATACGCTTATTTTGAAGCGAGATATGGCGATGCGACGCGAATTCTGGCGCACTCTAGTGGAGTGCGGCGCACTTCGCTGCTCTCCAACGCACTCCGCCGCACACCGGCGCACTGCAACGCACTGTGGCGCACTCTGCTAGAGTGCGGCGACTTTTTTGACGAATTATGAGCGGTATTGAAGTAGGCACAAAACATTTTTACAGTTCTTCTCAATCCCAGGCAGAAGCTAAGCTTTTAATATCTGATTAAAAGACATCGAAATCAACAGCAAATATCTTGCAACTAACAAAATTTATGCGAGCGTTATTTTCTTCAGATCCAAGACTGAATCGCAAAGAAGCAAGATGTCGTTGCCGCTAAATCACTAAATTTTAGCCCAACAGGCAATTGATGATAATTACGAGTATGCTACTGATTATATGATAGATCTTTATGTCATGCCTGCGTTAGGCAAACGGGAGGGGGGGGGGGGGATCCGGCTGTTGTGTGTCATACCTCTGCTCCCTGGTAATTCGCGCCAAGAGCTGTATTAATATTACGTTTCAAACATGTTGTTTTTATACTCAAGGAAGTTCGATGGAATGATAACAATACAATTTCAGGTGGCTCCCGGCATGATTCCCAACGGCCCTTTTAAGGAAGGAGGTAAAATCACAAAGACGGTCAGAATGTTGTGTTCTAACCAAAAAAACTGTCAAAACAATACGTTGTGGAGGTTCAACGTCAGCAGACAATTGTACCTGACAAGTCATGTTCTTGCTACGTAAGTCTGGTGTTTTATAAACTCTGTTCATTCATATATAGCAATCCCCGCGTCGTATAAAGCTAAGCGGTCACGTGGTTGGAGGTAAAGTAAGGCGAAGACTGATGCATATGAATGAGCTGCTGCGTGGATAGTCACCCCCTATCACTCATTTTGTAATTTGTTTGTCATTACTGCTAAGAAATGTCACGTTTCCTTCGTATCCCTGGAGATGCCTTGCATGATTTCTAATAGAGTTTGTGTCCTAAAACATAACCAAATGTGCTAACGCAACGTCTTATTTGCCACCTGCGACGCCTTGGCTAATGAGCATCCAGAAAATGCCATGCACTGAAAAAGACGACGAATTGATCAAAACTTTAATGATGGTGAAAGCCATTTGATAACAGGCAACTCAAGAATTTGATTGGAGGGCATGGAATGAAGTACCCTATTTTCCGGAGTATACGCCGCATTTCTTTTCACCGCGCGCGGGCTGAAATGCGATGTCGTTCGCGATGCGCGAAGCCGCACAAGCAGCAACTACTATCTATTTCGCCTGGTAATCTAATACGGGCTTTCTGCTTTCGTTCTTTATTTGGTTTCTTCGCAAGTATAATTGTTTGTAACAAAATTTCTAACTTCTCATTTATTCTTCAACAATCCGCTGAACAATAAAAAACGTTCGAATACCAAGTAACATGAAATCGAAAAGTGGTAGGCTTCAAACCGGTAAATCAAAATAAAAGAAAGCACAACTTCAGCACCAGTAACATCATTGAAAAAAGGAAAGCACAGTCAACCATTAGTATCATATAGGAAAGAAAACACAACTCACCCGCAAAGTTGTATGAAACAAGAAAATAAGTGAAGACATGATTATCCGTACTAGAACGCACCAAGTTCTCAATTTGCTATATAGCTCTCAAAGGCGCTTTCGCGCCATTGTTCGCTGCGGCGGGTGCGGCTTATATAGGGTAATCTTTGCTCAAAGGCACCGTCCACCCAAATTGAGGGTTCACGAGATTCGATGGCATACTAATGTGGGCCCCCACACTAAACCAACCCCCAAGTTTCCCCGCAAAAGATTGCTTCCGGAGCGAGGTACGTGAGACGTGATCCAGAGCTGGTCACTCAGCCCATTTTGCAGCTTTGGGGGTTGCGGCGCTGATATATGCCGGGCGATAACCTCGCCGCAGTCGAATTTGAGATTTGTGCTTACCTGGGCTTATTCGTTGTGCTGAATCCAATCCACACTGGAGAGCGCGAAAAGCTTTAAC